AACCCCACATTACATAGCATCTGACCCAAAGCTCACTGAAGTCCACAGGAACTTCAGAGCCTTCTAAAACTAAAATAAAGCAGTTGCATAAGCCAGGAAACACAATACATTCATGTAAAATTATTAAGAAATTTTATCCTTAAAAAACCAAACAAAACAAGAAAGAAAAAAAAAAGAAAAAAGCCTTTAGAATGGAACATACTAAACTCAGTTGCTAGTTTACCCATTGTGATTGCTTTATGTTGCAAAATCAATCTCCAGCAAGGGTTAAAACATACGGGGGAAAGCATAAATGAAGCTCATAGAGCTGACTCTTCTGCTATGTATTTGCAGCTCAGCATACCATTGTGGAAATCCTGAGCCAAAAGCCTATCTAGATCTCCCTGTTTAATATTTACCAATGAAACTGTATTTCACAAAGTTGCTATACCTTTTTTTTGCTCCCACTCATAATTAAGGCCTCCACAGCATCTCATGCTCTACAGCACAGATTCTACAATGTCCTTCTTCGCTGAAAAAGAAGTCCCAATTCAAGTCAAACTCTGTTCTGTGACCACTTCCCACATGACAAACAAAACATGTTGTTTTCTATTAAACTCTTATGCCAATTGTTCTAGTCTAGCCACTGCCTTCCCCTACTCACCTACCCACCCCCCGGGCTGAAGAAATTTTGTTTACTTAGGTTTTCTTCAAATGGCCACCATTCTGTGCCTCTGACCACAAAGTATGCATTACCAGAGTGGGTAGCATTCAAGATATGGGTGCACCATGGGTGCACTACAGTAGCCTTATACACTTTAAATTGGTCCTAAATTCTCCCTTTTCACAACCTCCAAAATTCTGTTTCTCTTTTTAATCCCACCAGCACGGAGATGATGTTTGCAGACTCACAATGACTCTCAAATCAAGCATCAACAGCCTCTCGTGGTATATGCACAGTCATGGCTTCACGCAGCTTCAACAATTACCATAATTTTGCATTCATCAACCCTGACTTTCATCTGAATTTATTGCCTCAATACCTAAGATGGGATCTCTTTCTGTCTATAGCATAATCTCCTGTGTCTGAGCTAGACATTTTAATTCCTTTTATACCCATAATGTCTTTCCAACAGCATTTAAAATAGAACTCACATCACTAAAATATGTACGTCTCAAGAAACTCTCTAACGTGAATCTTAAGAATCAGTTCAAATATGTTTCACAATGTTAGAAAAATTCCAGCTTTGTAGTTTGAAATTCTACAATTTACAGTGACCTCTATTTTTGACAGTCGTGCATATTTACATAACGATAACTAATTCTCAGATCTAGATGGTTTATGTATGTGTTGAACAGAAGAAATTCCTGACAAATCCACTGGTAACCTCCTTTAATTAAAAAAAATTACTATTTACTCCTGCCATCTTCTGTTCCTCAGGGTGAATAAAGATAACACTCATAAGTTCACAGCTGAGCATGTCACACCTGACTTCTCTCACTTCCTCACTTAAGTGAGGATTATTCAGTTTTAGTCACTGATTATTATTCATCTCAAATTCGACTTTCATTTTAAAAGATTGGATTTCTATAAATTTGAACTAAAATTAATTTTACTGACATTTAACTTGAGACAGTTTTTCCACTTATTTCATGTAAATAACGGTTCATGCAAAACAATCGCTCTGACCTCATTTATAGAGAGTATTAATGCAAATAGTTCATTAGTCTTTCCAGCATGCATTTATCTTTTCTAAATGCTCTAATTAACCCTTGATCGCGTTTTTAAACACCACATTCCTGCTGGTTTCTTGCTTTCAATGAATCTAACTCCTAGTTTTTTACTTTTTAGTGAACGCAAAATAATTACTTAAATTCCCTCAAGATAATTTTTTCCCCATTCTCATCAAAACTGCCTTCTAAGCCTGCTAGGCTCACTCTCTTTTTCATTCTCCTTACTTGGACATGAGAAGTACTTTTAAAATAATGGTTGGGTTCTTATTTTGACTTTTCCGTCAACCTCCAGAAGCTCTTTCTTCTTCTGTTCTCCCACCACTGGATTACTTTTAAATAAAAACAATCAAACAAAGTTTTATCCTGTTTTGAGAGGGTGTTCACTCCCTTAGAAGGTTTTCACCAGTGACATACATCTGCAAGCATTTTCCCTTTATGTACTCATTTTAAACTCCCACTAAAGAGACTCTACGTTTCTTCATAATTGCTTCTTTATAGAAGTTAAATGTTGCATTTCATTTTATTCTACTACATGGATAAAGAAGTTCAGTTCCCAAAGTTTACCCTCATTTGTACCAAATTTGTATTTTTAAAACAGCTACATACTGTACCAGGCCATTTCTGTACCACTCCTAGACTGATCAAGTTTTACCACTGCCCCAGAAATCCTTACAGTGCAAGTAACTAGTTCCTAGAGGAGCTGGCTACAGGTACAAGAATGCTAACCCAAGATGTTACACATACAGGATGTGGTTTTCTGTTTTCTTTAAATTCAATTATAGCTCATGCCTTTTATCAACAGGTACAGGTGATAAAATGGAAGATGAGGAGCCACCAAAAGGAAGTAACAGGGGATATTCAGTCTAATCCCCAATTCACATAACTATTCATAAACCAGAGAAAGATATCAGGTAAGGAGGTAGCATTAAAACCTCCAAATTGCTAAATGCCAGGAAAGTACAAGCTGCATCACTGGAAGTGTGACCTGTTCTTATTCTCTTTCTCCTATGCAGTCACTGTTGCACAGAGAATACTGGGCTGAGTGAATCTCTCATATAGCTGCTCTTGCATTACGTGTCTCAGTCATCAAGAACTTCAAAAATTATCAGCATTTCAAAATTGAATAGCAAAAAAAGCCAACAGAACAAAAAATTACGAAGAAAAATTATCAGAATTTTTGCCTTTGAAGACTTACAAAACTAAATAATATAGAAATCTTTGATCTCCCTTCAAGTTTGGTAGTCTTTCTTGCATTATTAATGTCAAAATTACAAAAACAAAACCAAGGGCAGCTGAACAACAGTTCAGGGCTCTAAGAGTCAAAAGTAATTTTCCATTTTGAAGTGAAGAAACTTGGAATCCATAAACACACCAATAGAGAAACAATATTTTTTAAAAAGTTTAGAAAGTCCAAAGGCAAGACAAGCAAATTACTGGATAAATACACACATTTCTCAGAAGAAAAGTCTGAATGGTCTTTTATTTGCATTTGGAAAAATACATGCAAAAAAAAATTTCTCTTTTTGAAAGCACTTCCTACTACGTCTTCATAGGGGCACTGCAAACGTTTGCTATTACCAAAACTCAGGAAGCTCAAATTAGCCTGGTTTTATTTACACATCCCTGAAAAGAGTCAAGAGCACAAAAAACAACCCTCTAAACTGTTCAGTGGAACCAGCCACACGAAAGCACTAAACAGAGAACAAACTGAGCACGTTAATAGTAATTTCAGAATGACATGCTGATATGGATTTACAGACTCACCTTCAATGCCCATATGTGAGTTAAAGAATTTCTTTAAAATCCATCCCACTTATGTTTTAATATAGACATTCATACACACGCCCCCCAAGCACCATTTATCATGAAAGTTTTCTCTCATAACGAGAATACTTAATGGAGACAAAACAACACAAGATGAAGAAGGTCCTTGAGAAAATGGCATTTCTCTCTGTTATGCTTTTTATCATTAGATGTGGACAGTACAAAGTTTGATTGTGTCCTTAAACTTCCATTTACTTCCATTTGACAGATATGCTGATTAATAAATGCTAACAGTTTGCACCACTGCACAAGTCATGAAGAAAATGTTTGGGTGTTTGGGTTTTTTTTTAGACAAGAAGGTAAAGAAAGAAATTAAATACTGGCAACAAGTCATGTTTGTTTAACTGGACCCGAAGGGTATAATTTTTTTTGAGTATGTCAGTGGCATAGAATGAGAACTTCTACCAGAGGCAGCTGAATGAGAAGATGCATAAACCACACTAAGTTCAGATAATCTCTCCAGAACAACTTCCTGCCAGAAGGTAGGCATCAAGCTAAATATTTTCTACTGGCACTATCATGTCTTTTGCAATTATTTTAAGTTCCATCTGATGAACCCTAATTTTCAAAAATTTAAAAAAAAAAAGAAACAAAAAAAACCAAAAAAAACCCAAAAACAAAAACAAAGCAACAAACCAAAACCTACTCTCTGGGATCTTGTCTGCCTCAGATAAATGGAAAAATAAAATTCTGTCTGTGAGGATACTTAATTCCATGCAAACAATCTTTTTCAGAAACTGTTTGGTGATGCATAAAATACTGGGGCAGTAACATAGTAAAAATTGAAGTATGCTAGAGAAACCGTATGTTGTAGGTATTGGAAATCGTCCCTGTCAAACACTTGCATATCAAGTGCAAAAAGTATGCCTTATTACTCAATTTGGATGACAGAAAATAATCATTCCATTTGGGCTGCAGAATCTGTCTGTGAGCTGGTTGCTCTTAAAAGTGGAATCACTCGTGGAACCATACTGCATAAATCTGTGTAGCCTGTAAGCATGAATTATCTCATTATCCAAGTCATCCTGATGGAAATTCACGTAGTTTGCTTCAAATCTCATTGACTCTTTTAACTTCTAGATATAAGTGACATTCTAAACACAAAGAAAATTGTGCTTTTCTCTGTCACTAATCTGGGGAAAATCTGCTTTGTTGGGCATAAGTTATTAATATACAATGCACTTTAAAAGTGTTCACCTCAACCATGTCAAATTCTACAGGCAAAGGAACAATGCAAACACATCTATGAAGGAACTGAATACACCACATTTCCTGCATGTGTGCAGGTTTCCATCACTTTTATGACATCTCAAGGACCATATTACAACAGACTTGAATACTACTCAAGACAGTAAGAATTCTCAACCAAAAGCAACATACCTAGAGCACTCAGGCCTCATATTCTCCTTGATATTTCTAATAATGACATGTTTAATTAGAAATACACACACGCGACACGTTACCTTTGATGCCATACGCATGAACAGTGAGTTTTGATCCTCTGCTGTCCTCATCTTCTCGTTTTTGACCAAATCCTTCAGGTCCGTATTATCATCATCCTGAAAATACCGTACTCTCTCTTTATCTACATGAGTAGGGACCTGGAAACAAACATATTAAAAATAAATATTTACCTAATGAGAAAGATCAGCTATAAAATTCAGATCCTAATAATTTCAACAAGTTTAAAGAATCATGAATCAAGCTAAGCACATCTGAAACAACTGGGCTGACTGCTTCATTTTATCTAAGGAAAATAATATCTTCCCCTTCTTCAACTGCATCAGTATGTATAAATAAAAATGTAGCCTCTTTCCACAATCACTATATCCTTTACATCCTTCAGGTATCAGAGCTACAACATTATCACTCAGGGAAGATGTAGAGTTATTAACTGAAACAGTTAATAAGCTCACAAAAATGAAATATTCTAAAAAGTAATTTTTATTATTGACAATTCAAAAGTTTTTGTAAAGTCACAGATACTACTGAAACACAGTAATCACAGAGTGTACTGAAAACTTGTATGAATATGCTACCTCTGCTGGGAAATGTTGCCATCTTAGACAGAGTGCACAAGAGAACAGATGTCCTTTAGCTTACGACTTAACTAAATTCTGAAGGAGCACAGGGAATGGTCATTAACACACAGCAAGATGGCATTTTCTAAAATGGAAACAACAGGAGGATGACAACAAATTCCTTGGTCTCTTATGCCTTTTGCTCCTCCATAGCACTGCTGCAAAATGATCTGTCCTGCTAATCAAGAACAAACTTCTTGTTCCCCAAAGCACTTTCTTACAAAGATTGGGTCATGATTACTATTACCAGCAGTAGCCATATTTTTTTATTAGAAGAAAAGTAAAATTAGCCCCTGAGACCTGAGTATCTTGGTAAAATCTTTCTTATTTTGGCAATACTCATCTCTGCTAATCTTCATTATTTACATAACTTTATGGAATATAAACTACTTGGCTAAGAGACCGTGATAACTTGAAAAACCTACTTTTCCATGAATGTGCATTTAAGTAAGCTGTAAAGTGATCCCTAGGGAAATACAATCTGAAAATAAACTTAATATATGCTTAATAAATATGCACTCTAGCACTTAATTACAATCATCTTCTGAAAGAAACATTTTAGCTACCTATTGACATTCTGATAAGACACTCATTAATTATGGCATCACCAAAGTAAAGCTACAAAATTATTTAATAATTACACTTTAATACTCACACTTGTAAAACTTACCATCTGTCGCTTTCTCCGTCCTCCTTTTGCCTCTTGTGGTTCAGCTGGTCCAGTTACAGGCCATGCCATTCCACTCTCATCTGTTCTGACAAGGACCACTTGTTCATCTTCTTGACGGCTTGAAGCCTGTGTCAGGTTTTAAGGCATATTTTAAAACAGATGGCGCAGACAAACCACATTAAATAAATGTTTAAAATACTAAATAACAGATTCTTCACATTTCGTGTGTTCACTGTAATTCAAAGCAGACAGCATTACCTTAACAAGGTATTCTTTTTCACATTCGAAAAGTACAGAATATTAAAAATATATTCAGTTAGTTAAGTGCAGAGTTAATAAATACTTTCCAAAGAACCAAGTTTGTATTCTTTAGTTTTTTCTCTTACACTTCATCCCCAGAAGAAATACAATGCATATGAAGACTGAAACAGATAATATTGAATTGATATACCACACCATCTTTATAAGAGTGTATTCCCAAAAACCATCTGAAAAGTAGTTTTTCTGGTTTAATGTTTTTTTTTCATTTCAAAACTTGGCTAATAAACTAGCCAAAACCTTAGCTACTGGTTTTCAACACATTCCATCAGATCAAACTTTTGTTTCCTGTCATTTTTAACACGCTGTAATACTGAGATTTTTTAAATCTTGATTGTAGGATATGCAAAATAGGAAATACAAAGAGCTCAACATAAGTGTCTCTATGGTGATGAAGAAACAGATAAATAGATGTACATTTATTATTTAGGTCAAGTTAAATTGTAGACTGAGGCAGAAATGACAACATTTAAATCATCTGTTTGTGTGCCAAAATATATGGAAACAATAACAAGCATTCACCTGACCTATGTCAAATAAGTCATTTGCTTTTGGATGGTAAACTCATTCAATCTCACATAAATTGCACATGTATTTAATTACAGCTTCTACATACCAAAAGAAACTTGGAAATCATGAGCAGGGTAGCTTCTAAACTTAAACCAAACTCTTGAGGTGCTGGAGATGTGAGGTAAGAGGCACAGATAAGACAGGGCTACAAGGGAAGCTTTCACACACTTACCCTTGATCCTCAGGGTGGAATAGAACTACCAGTTCATCTGCTGGAAGAGCAACTCAGTAGGGCACAAGCAATACAGATTTCAAAAGCACTAAGGACAAATGCCAAACAAATTAACTAAGAGTGCTCTTCTGAATTTTCTACTCATAAATTTAAAAAAAATAGCCTAATCAGGGATATGGAAGTCAGTCACTCCCTTGGCTACAGCAACAAGATAGTGGAGCTTAAGATTCTAAGGAAAGTGAGTAAGGCAAGAAACGGAACAAAGGAAAAATAATCCTGGATTATAGAAAAACAGACTTCAACTTATTCAGGGATCTGCTTGGCTGGATTTCATGAGCGATGGTCATGAATGTCAAGGTGTCAAAGAAAGCTGGTTGATCTTCAAGGAAAACCCCCGCAGAGGATGAGAAGGGACCATTTCATCTGCTAACCCCACTTGGCTAAATGGGGAACTTCAAACAAAACTCAGAAAGCAATAAGGAAGCGTACAGAAGGTGAAATCTGAGAAGTTACCCAGGAGGACCCCAGAAGCACTTTCCAGGCATACTGGCATAGAATAGAAAACCACAGCTGAAGACGAAACTAGCAAGAGATGGAAAAAAACAAAAAGGGATTCTACGAGCATACTGGATATTCACCTACAAGTAAGGACAACAGAGGTCTGCTGTTGAGAGAGGAAAGGCCATGAAAGAGGTTAAGACACTCAGTATCTTTGCCAGTCCTTAGCAGCAAAGTCTGCCCTTGGGCTTCTCAGGCCCCAGTGCCTACCAGTAGAGCTTGGAGGACAGAAGTATACCTGATAACTTGAGGCCCAGGTAAGCAACTTGAAATATGCCAGCTTAGGGAGCTAGATGAGATGCATACATCACATGGGAAAAGAGGTCTCTCCCAATCACATCTGAGGAGTAGCACTGGATGCTCTTGGAAAAAGGTGAATGTATACAGTCATCTTCAGAAAGGTAAAGAAGAAACACCTGGGGAACAGAATGACCACCTTCACCCCAGTCCCACAAAATATTACAGAACCAGTTCTCATGGAAGGCCCTTCATAGGGCCCCCACTTCACAGGGGTGTTCTCAAACTTACCTAAAGATATACATATACACACACATATGAAGAAAAGGCAGAAATTCTGCACCAGAAAAGTATTTAATTTTCTAAAATATTAAGAATAATTAAAAAATTATTTTTAAAGCCTGAGAACTTCCTGATTACTCTCCAAAGCTGTTTAGTTAAATCAGATGGTCAAATTAGAGCACATAATGGGGTCACTACTAAATCTGATGATATTTGGACAGCCTTTGTCAACTCTTATAAACAACTGTATTAATCTCAATTTGAAGCTATTTTCTACCAGACTGCTTTATACCTGCCATCTTTGACTAAGCAAAGCTTATCCCAGAAACCCAAATAAAGTCTGAAAAATCTGTAGATACTGAAGTATGACAGTTTCAGTGCCTTAATTACATTTCCAAGAAAAATCTATCTTTCCAAGCTGAAGAAGGTAGAAGTTATGGACCAAAAAGCTGCCTAGGTAAGCCAAAGTTCTCTCTTCAGGTTGGAAGCTGAAGACACAACCACAGATATTGCAGTGAAAACTCAAAAACCCAGAGCATTGCTAATTAGTTTGAAATAAAACAGATCTCTCTAGAGGAAAAACACCACCTTGTCCCAAACCTACAATGCCCACCGTGGCCAAAGAGGGATCCAGCAGCTCTCCCAAGAGGACTGGTCAAATCCACACACGGGGCAGCAGGTAACTAAAATTCTTAAAATACAGACGTTTCAAAAAGGACTGTGCAAGCTGTTAGTTTCCAAAAATCAATGGAATTCACAAGGTGTTCTACATGTTGGAGTTTTTTATCTGCCTTTGAAGACGGGCTCCAAAACATTAGATCCTAACAATATCTGATTTTCTTTTTTTTCTTCTCATTTCTACATGCCAACACACTAACATAAAGGCAGTAGAAGAGTATTTTCTGGATCTGAACCACAGAACGAGTGGAGGCAGAGACAGGAGTGGGGTAGGGGGCAGTAGATATAGCACATACTGAATTCTTTGCGTCAGAACTCTACAGCTGGCAAGGTATTTTGTATTTTATAGGGCTTGGGGTTTTTTTCCCCCTAATTTCAAAGACTCCTGAGTCCTGACACAAAGCATGTAATACTGACCATAACACATTTAGATTTAATTTTCCAGAGAAAAGGAAAAGGCAAAAAATTAATTTTTAGCTTTAGAATACAAAGTACGAAAAAATAGAAGTTGTCCATCAAAGAGAAATTAAAAGGAGCAGACAAAAGGATCAACTAATTATGGACAGAATGAAAACAAAGTGCAGTCTTATTAGAGACTAATAGTTTAGCATACTAGGAACTGAGATGAACCCAATGGATCCATGACAGGCATGATTATTCAGAAAATTAAAGATGTTATTAGAGGTAAAGACATCCTTCAGAAGTCAGAACCCTGTCTAAATAGAACTGAATTAAAAACACAACATAACAACAGACACTAATTATATTAACATAAAAAGGTAAGGCAAACGTTGATTTTTAGGAGGATCTTACTAACAATAATTACTAAAGCTATTTCTAAACACATCAGAAGCAGAAAGCTTTCTGATAGAAAACAAAAGACGTTCAAATAGTTATAGCATTATCAGATGAAATTTGAATAATAATTATTTGCATTTTAAACATAAGGCTTTTCTATTCAACAACCTTTAAAAAAAAAGAATAAACAGAATAAACTTTATAAATCATCTTTAAACTGAAATATCAGTAAAAGGAGTTCTCAAGCAAGCTACCATGAAGCAATGATTTTCACTAGGGCTCCCATAAATAAGTTCCAATATATAATGTCCACATTCTTCCACATGCATTATATCCTTTAAATAGGTCTCAGTATAAAAATAATGGAAAATTGCAAATACGATATAAAACCTTAAAAATGTGCCAAAGGCTGATTTGGGAAATTCCAGGGCAATGTAATGGACAAGTTCACACAAGTATAATAAAAACCCAAATTCCTCTACACTTGAACAAATACGGCATACTGTGACAGAGCCTTTGCAGGAAAAAAGCCATGACTCACAGAAGTAACAGACTTTTCTGAAGGATGCAAAGGAGTGTGGATACCAATCTAACTGCAAAAGTTACTTACTGCTCTCATTTTATCTGTTGATATTTTCTTTACACATTTATATATTTGCATTCCTATGAGTATATGACATGGCATATGGTAACCAACACCTATATGGTGATTGTGATATAATAATTACTCTTTAATAATTATCATCAGATAAATAATACCTCTATTAATATAAATATAACATAGCTTTAAAAATATATATTAAAGTACTTGAAATATGATACGTATTGTTAAATGTTAAAGTTGAAACTGGAGAAGAGGCTCAGTCGCTATCCCTGAATCTTGTGATGACTGCTAAACTAACAATATAATTTACAGTCTGAAATGAACAAAAATAGTGTGTTTTTCCAGAGTGAGTGAGGAATTGTTTGTTGCCATTAATTAAGGAACACGAATTTTTACTTCAGGCCAATTAAATATGCAAAGTACACAGTTGTTCTCACCAAATGTACAAACCACTATAGAGCGATTAACACCCAACTGAACAAAACAAAGACAGCAAGTCTGGTTTTGAAAGATAAAAGCTTTAAACTAAATACATAAATAAATAAAATGCAGTTCTGAAAAAGATTTTTGAACTCTCCAGAGATGCTGCCTGTTCCATAATCAGCAGGACAAAGTAGAAAAGCTCTGCCACACTAGGTGCATAGCTTAATTTGAGACACTGGAGTAGATGAACAAAGGGAGTAATCAGGCCAAACATCTCAGATAGGATCTACTCAATTAGAACTGCTTTTTAATGCTGTTAGCTGAAGGGAATAAAATACATTTTAAGAGTCAGTATATTGTGGGATAGGGAACAACCAGAGCCAGAAAAAAACAAACTTTTTTTTTAATTACTGAGCCAACGAAAAGCTGGATGCTGCATGAACTGAGAGCTGTCTGCAAATGTTTACCAGGAGCTACACTCAAGTG